ATGACTTGCTCACTACTTTTGATTTATTCCTCAATAACATAAAGTGAAATAAAAAATGATCGTGCAAAATTATAGAGAATAATAACACTTATAATATAAAATAACTCATAAAATATAAGTTTCTATTTGTGACCTGTTATTTAATTGTGTGGATTGAATATTTATAAGGATTTGTACTTGAATTTAAATATTTATTTATTTAAACATAGTTTTTTTTTCATCCCTTTTCAACACATTGCTTTAGTATTTCAATAATTTTGTGGACAAATGTTTTAAGCAACATTCCAAAACTCAAACAAAGAAAACAAAGTGTAGTAGCAATACAGTAAGAGATTTGCATTTCTTTACTATGTTAATGATTGATTTTATTTATTATATGAGGACTGAATTTACTAAGTATATATGACTTAATTCATTGAAAAAAATTCAGTTATTTTGTTGTACATGTTACAACTTTCATCATTTAAATTTTGGCACTTCTATTATTTTTTAGCTTTTCATATCTTGTTTTTGCATTGATGATGTTGTGTTGTACCAAATGCTATAAAAGAGGTACATTTTGTTTATTATTTTAACTTATCTATATTGAAATCATATAATACGGGTCAATTATCTTAACTTAATGATTTTTATAGAAAGTTTTGAAGTTTAAAATGATCAACTATTATAACCATATTCATATGTTTTGAAAGATAAATAATGAAAAAATAGGATGACTATGTCTTAGTATATGATTTTTTTCCTTCTTCATCTTAATGGTCAATTTCATGAGTTTTTCATACTTGTTTCACTTTTAATCAAACATATTTATTATAAAATTAATATTAGGATTGTGTTTTCAACTCATTCTTTTATTAAATACTTATCATTTAATAAAGAAAGTGAATTATTAGTTTTATATTATGCTCATATACTTCTTTTCTTTATTTTGTACTACCTAACTTATATTTATTTTTTGAATAATTTTATGTAGATAATGATTATGCTTATATATGATATTTAATTTGAATTCCAAAAGATTAATATCATGGTTTTATTTGTTAAGTATACTTTAAAGACATGTCCTAATAACATGTAGCAATATATGTTAATTATTGTATAATATGCTTAATTTTGAATTTACTTGATAGATCACATGGGTTATTCTTTAGTAAAAATTATCATTCTAATATAGACAATTTCAGAGTAATGCCATAAAATAAACTAAAAGCATTTTAGTTTTTTGGATATATCGTATACTTTAGTTTTGAGAATGTCTAGTTCATATTCTATTAGTTTCCCCTCCTTTTTAAACAAACTAGGAGATATTGCCTAATTATTCTATACATGCAAATTGGTTCAATGTAGGGGAAGCCTATTAGGAAACCATAATTATCCTTTGTATATTGCCTAATGAGTTTTTTGTTATTTCAAAATCACTAGCACATGTTTGATACTTAAGTTGGATTTTCACTCTAGTTTTAACATAGTTTTGATTTGGGAATTGTTGAAAGCTATGACTAATTATGAAACTTGGTTTGCTCATTGTCCTTGAGATGACATGAATGCAAAATTCTATTTGTGAGTTGTTCTTTGATTGTGTGGACTGAATATTCAATAAGGATGTGTACTTGAATTTGAATATAGTTTTGTTGATATGTTCGTTCATTTTTCAACATTTGCTTAAATATTTCCATAATTGTTCTGGATAGGTATTTTAAGTAAGATTACAAAATCTTAGAAATGGTAAGATATTTAATTCAACCTTACAAAACCGATTCAATAAGGTAAGAATTGAACTCACACACCTCCTAGCATCGAGGATGAGTGATTTAATATTATAGTCTGATAACAATTGATTAAGTTCAGTATATTAAGGGTTATTGTCCCAATAACTCTAGAGTTAGCTCTAATACCATCTTAAAAATGATGAGATACCTAATTCAACTTTACAAAACTGGATCAATGAAGTGAGAATTGTACGCACCTATATACTATTATGTTATTATATCTCTATTCGATGTAAGATTTCTCAACACAAACGTCACAAACAAATAAAAAAAAGTGCAACAGGAACAATGTAAGAAGATTTCATTCTTTTATTAAAACGAATTCAATTATTTGGTTGCACATGTTGTAGTTTTAATCATTTAAATTTTGAAAATTCTACTATTTTCTGCATTTTCATATTTTGCTTCTGCATTGATTTTGTTGTGTTGTAATACTTGATTGTATTGTTTTCAATATTCCAAATGTTATAATAAGTACATTTTGCTTATTATCTCAGTTTATATATGTTAAAATCATATAATAAGAGTCAACCATCTTAACTTAATGGTTCTTAAAAAGTTTTGGAGTGTAAGATAATCAATAGTAATAGCCATACTAATATGTTGGATATCGTGATGATTATGTTGATAATCTCCTATAATAAACTAAAGCTTATTCTAATTAAGTTAATTCACAAAAGATTACACAGTTAAGATAATAACTATCCACTAGTGAAGTGCAACTACCAAGTAGTGACGAACATGTTCGTTAGATGAGTTCACAATTTGAGTTCATCTAAACATTTCTTGGTACAATACCAAACAACACAAAATAGTTGCTGCACAAAATATTTTCCAACAACAAAATGGTACAAGTCAATAAACAAATTGAAGGTAATCAACAAAGTGAAGATATATAAAAATATGATGTACTATTGTATTTTAAATGAATTTTTTTCTTTTTAATGTGGAATGAAAATATTAAGTTCCCTTTACTTAGATTTTCAAACCGTTTGACTTTTTTAAATATAAATTGAATTTTATGAACTATTTATCATTTGTAAAAATTAATATTTTTAACATGAAACTCAAATTTAAAGGTCCAAATAGAGTCCAATTAAATTTAATAAAATAATAATTTTATAATATAATAAATTCATTAAAAAAATATTTTTTACAAAAAATAATAAAAATTATTGTCATAATAAATTATAATAAAGATTATAAATATAAAATAAATTAAAAATATAAAATATAAAATTATTAAAATAAGATAAAAAATAATGATTTAAAGTTGACATAATTAATATAAAATAAAATAAAATTAAAATATATTATATATTTTATAAAAATTATATTAAAAATTTGATCTTAATTTTTTTTTATCAAAATTGTTTAAAAAAATTCAATCATTTTTCTGATTTTATTCTAATTATTTTCAATTTAATCTTAATCTAATTAGAATTCGATTATTTTGAACATAAAATCAATATCCACTTAAACCAAACTTGTCTAAATTCTAAAACAGTAGTTTACATTTAATATTATTAACATTATAAAAAAGTTAGTTTAGAATGATTTATTTCCTTCGTGAAAATGAATAATTACTTTTAAAATATATTATAAATACATTTTATAAAAAAATGACGAGTTTCACAAAATATTGTATACGACCCAGATTAATGAATAACTATTAATCTTAAAAAATCACATAAAATGTAAAATATTAATCGATATAAAATATTTAACACTATCGTCTCATATTTCATCCATCAAACCATGCATCATGTAGGAAAATAACTCTCTGAAATATTATAAATAGTATATACCGTAATAAATATCAGTTATTCAAATATTATTATATTCATCATTTTATAAAAATATTATAGTTTTCTTCGTATTATCATATATATATCACGTATCCTTCTTAATTAAAACTTTTGGAAATTATTTCTTAATTTAATAGAATTCAATCTATCATCTGTTATAAAAAAATTCGATAATAATTATTTTTCTTAAAATAAGTAATAATATTTTATAATTAAATTCTATTATTTTTTTAATCAAGTGATATTTATTTACAATAACTACTTTTTTTTCTTTTGAATCGAAATAGCAAAGCATTAAATGAAGCCGTACCATCGTGATGCAGTGCTTACCTACCAATGACAGATAATTAAGTGAAAAACTGTAAGTCCATCTGGGCACGTTCTCAACACACAGCACTGCCTACACTTTCTCACCGCATTCACGTTCCTTCCTACCTTCTTCAATCTTCAACCTCCCCCTCTTCACTTCCAATCCTATCAAATGCAAAACCTAACTCATAAGCACCACTACTTCTTCCTCTTCTTCAAATTCAAACAACCTTTCGTGTAATAATAACTGTAAAAATATAACTTTTGAAGTGATTAATAAATATATAAATATAATTAAATATTTTATATGAGATTTTTTTATTATGGATAATTAAGACAAATAATACACGGATATTAGATTCACGATTTGTTTTATTTTATGATTTGATAAAAAAAAGAAAGTATTTTCTAACATCCATCCATACATCACACTGTATATAGTGTGTCACACGAAAATTCTGGATGAAGAGCATCCATGCATACACGTAGCCTCTAACTAAATAAATTTTGAGATATCAGATCTAGTACAAATTGTACGATCAAGAGAGAGGCAGAGAGAAAAGTGAGAAAAATTCAAATGAAATAAATTATTAAAAAAGAAAAATACAAAAAGAAATATCGTATATACTATTGTAGGAAGGAATCGATGTACCTGTGTGGAGGGTATATAAAAGAGAAAAAGTAATTCATAGTACAAAAAAAATTAATTATACACGGAGACGTTTCACTAGTATTAATAAATTTAATTAAAGAATATGTTTATTTTTAATCAAAACATTAAAAACAATTATAATAATTTTTTCATTAATGATTAATTTCATGTGAAACCTTTATATGGAAACCGTTGCCATTTATATTATATTTTTATTAAAATATTAAAAAAATTATCACTAGCCCGATAAGATACGACAACATCATGTAAAGTATGAAAATGACTGTGTCAATCGTCCAGCACAAATTGCCCAAGTCCTGTCTCAATTGGCTCTGTTGGGAAATTAATAAATTAAAAAAAATAAAAGACAGAGAAATTCTTTCTCTATATATGGCACCAAGGTTGAGCCTGGGGAGAAAAGAAAAAAACAAACCCCAACTAAGTTTCCTTTCAAAACTAACCATGACTCCATTCATTTTTGCCTTGGCAACAATCGCAGCAGCAACCCTGGTGTATCGTGTGATAAAGTTCATAACGCGTCCTTCACTGCCTCTCCCTCCAGGCCCGAAACCCTGGCCCATAGTCGGAAACTTTCCACACATGGGCCCGGTGCCGCACCACTCCCTCGCCGCCTTAGCCCGCGTCCACGGCCCGCTATTATACCTGCGTCTCGGGTTCGTTAACGTGGTGGTGGCCGCGTCGGCGACGGTGGCCGAACAATTCTTGAAGATTCATGACTCTAATTTCAGCAGCCGGCCGCCGAACGCCGGCGCGAAATACATAGCTTATAACTACCAGGACATGGTGTTCGCCCCCTATGGCCCGCGGTGGCGGTTGCTCCGGAAACTCACCTCCGTTCACCTCTTCTCCGGCAAGGCCTTGGATGAATTTAGACACCTGCGTGAGGTGAATTTTCTTGCCACTCCATTCTAGCTACACGTACAGTGCATGAATGGTTTAACATATTTTACCTTCATTTTGCTTACGGTTTAAGAATTTGAAATAATTTAATTTATTCAAATTATTTATGAATTTTTTTCTCTATTAATATTTGTAAAGGTGTTGATTGATAGATTTGGTTTGATTTATTTTTAAAATCATTTAAATTTTTATATTAAAAAATATTTCTATTTAGTTTAATATGAAATCCGAATAAAATAAAAGAAATATTCTGTTCGTTATTTACTTTAAAAAAACTATTAAATATTTTTCTATAAGATTATAAATATTTTTAAAAAATATATTAAATATTTTTCTATAAAATTATAAATATTTTAAAAAAATTACTAAACGTATTTTTTCAAAAATCATTTGCGATATTATTATTGTTGTTATATTAAAAATATGTGATGAATTTATTGTTGCTGTTATATTTAAAATATGTTATGAATTTATTGTTGTTGTTGTATTTAAAAATATGTTATGAATTTACTTTTGTTATTCAAAGTATGTTATGAATTTATTATTGTTGTTATATTCAAATTTCAACCTTCTCTTATTTATAAATAAATTTTTATGATTAAAAATTATAATACAAAATAATAATAAAAAGTTCTTCAAATTTAGTAAAATGATATTTTATTATTTTCTTAAATATTAAATTTGAAGGATTAAAATTATTTTTACAAAAATATTCTAATCATTAAATTTAATATTTAGAGATTATAATCATTTTTTTATTTTAAATAACAATTTTTTTTAAAATATAGGAACCAAAGCATTATTTCTAATATAAATTTATACTTAGTAGAACAATGACTTTTACATTATATTTTCTAAGATGAGAAAGAGGACATGCTAGTTTGAGTAAGTTTGATTTAGACGAGTGGTTTAAAATGAAGAGACGTGTACCTAGTACATAAAAGTTAATTTATTTCTAATTCAAAATGGATAAAATGTATGTTATATATTATTATTATTATTATTATAATATATGTCCGTTTAAAAAGTAAAACACTACTAAAAATAATAATCAATATAATATAATATATCATTTAATAGATTCAGTTATGTATTTATTAATGCAGACATATTTTTTAAATATGTTAAAATATTATAAATAAATCATAAAATATTCATATTAACTTTTAGTATACTCTTTGAAAAACAAGCGACCACATATTATATCTACTTAATTAACATTTTCCGTCAGTTGTTATACTTTAGATTCATCAAATTAATTAGTGGAAACATAATGGATAATATTTCTCATTATTAATTTTTTAAAATAATTACATTTTTAATTATATAGATATATTATATTATCTATTTTTATTTATTATATATGTTATATGTTATTTCTTTATTTTTTTATATATTATATATTTTTCTCCTTATTTTAAAATATATAATATTATAATACTATTTTTTTGATATTATTACTTTATTTAATGAAAGATAATAGACTATTTTATATATAAATAAAAAGCCAAAAAAATCTTTTATATATGATATATATAAAAAAATGTTAAATGATTTGAACTTAGCATGGTTAAAGTGGTCACCCTGGTACTTAGGGTCGAATTCACAATTAAAGATGCGAACCACTCACGACTTTAATCCATTTCCATTTATGTATTGTCAATGATGCTTATTTAATTGATGCTCAACTTTTGCGAAATATATATCAAAATTCTTACGTCACCTGAAACTTTTTTTCATTTTTATGTTTACTTCCGCATGACAACATTTCAATATAGCTAGTAAAAGTAAATTATTTAAGATATAACAATTTTGAAGTATTGATGTCATCAATTTTAAAGAATAGTATCAAAAGGTATTTTCGATAAATTAATTAAATATGATTTATGCTCGTAAAATATTAAAAAAAAATCAGTTTGTTTAAACATTATAATATAATTATATTTTAAACATGATTATGTTTTCAATATGTTTTTGTCTTGAATTTATAATATATTATATTTACTTTATAAGATAAATAAATATTTTCACTAATTTTGAATTACAACGGACAAACCTTAGAAATTATTTCTACAAAAAAAAATCTTTTAAGGTACCTGCATGATTTTACCTTCTGCTTTTTTTTTTAAAGATCTGTGTTTTATTTGTTTTCCTTTGTTAATTAATATATTAATTTAATTATTTAAGATGTATTTATTAAACCACTTAATATTACTCAATAATAAATGTGAAAAATTATGTCATATACTTAAAATATCGCTCACTCCTTTTTTAAGATTAATACCATTAAAATCTATAGCCTTTGAGCTTTACCGACAGTCAACAATAGGACAAGACAAAAACTATTATGTTTAAAGCAGTGTCATTTGTATCACGTGCAAGTGTTGCAAATGTACATGTAATTAGACAGACATTTCGACGTGTAAAATTTTTATGCTAGTATTATACGTGAAGCATATGCGTACGCACAGGAACTCTTATTTTGCGGTTATTGTTCGCATTCACGTCACTTCTTACAACGGTACCATATATCCATTTCACAGTGCCGTGCTTTAAAATATATTTGAATTTTTTTTTTCCAATTTAATGAACAAACCATAAATTAGAGTCTTACTTAGATTAATTAAATGTACATTCCAATTTTCATTATTTTTTAGACGTAACCAACGTATTTTTCCAACAAATGTAAGAAGCATACCAACTTTTACATGAAATATAGAAATTTTTGTTATAAAATGTATCGATGTGACAGTCGACCATAACATTTAGCATTTACTACACTTCATTCATGCCGAGAGTGTCATGCATTAATGACTAAAACCTAACTCAGAAACTGAAATGCACGGTTTCAGGAAGAGGTGGGAAGACTGACACGTAACTTGGCAAGGTCAGAAGCAAAAGCAGTGAATTTGGGACAGATGTTGAACGTGTGCACGACGAATGCATTGGCGAGGGTGTTGATCGGACGGCGAGTGTTCAAGGATGGGGATGGTGGGTGCGATCCTAGGGCTGATGAGTTCAAGGACATGGTGGTGGAGTTGATGGTCTTGGCTGGGGTTTTCAACGTTGGAGACTTTATTCCTTCCCTGGAATGGCTTGATCTTCAAGGAGTGCAATCTAAGATGAAGAAATTGCACAAACGCTTTGATGCCTTTTTGACCTCCATTATTCACGACCACGATACCTCTTCCATCAGTTTCTTGAGTATTTTGTTGTCTCTTCAAAATGTCAAGGACGATGATGGAAACCGTCTCACTCACACAGAGATCAAAGCACTGCTTCTGGTACCTACCCTCTTCTCATTTTTTTTTTTTTAATTTATCTTTAAAAAATAGAAATTTCCAAGTAATCAATTACTCATCTCTTTACTTAAATGGTCGAATTGAATTTTCGTCCTTTAACTAGATATCCTTACCTATTCTTAACAGTTCAACCTAAAGCCTAGTTGTAAGTTGTAACTGCAATTCTCTCTTAGGGACTTACTTAAAATTCAACACTTTTGTCCACAGTTTCAACAATCTCGTTTACAAGTTGCCATTTGACTTTTTACTCTATATAAATCTTAACCTAACACCAATTGAGAGATCCATTACCACACCCAACAACAAGAAAAGTGTCCTCTTCCTAACCGCAAGAATAGATATGTTTCTTTAATTTCTTTTAAGAATTCTTTTTTTTTTATAAATTGATCTTTTATTTTAAGAAAAGAACAAAAAAGCTTTTGAAAAACAACTTGGAATAACAATTTTCTACTTCGGTTTTTAACAATTGCTTATTTTTTTTAAAACACCAAGAAAAACTCTAATATGTTATGCTAAGAATAGAAATATGTGGTTGTTTACTTTGTTCAAATTTGGCAGAACATGTTTACGGCCGGGACTGACACGTCATCAAGCACTGTAGAATGGGCCGTTGCAGAACTGATTCGAAACCCAAGAATCATGGCCCAAGTCCAACAAGAGTTGGACGCAGTTGTGGGCCGAGACAGGAGCGTGAAAGAAGAGGACTTGGCCCATCTCCCATACTTACAAGCAGTGATAAAGGAGACCTTCAGACTTCACCCATCAACCCCTCTTTCTCTGCCACGTGTCTCTGCCGAGAGCTGCGAGATTTTTGGGTACCACATCCCCAAGGGTTCAACTCTCTTGGTGAATGTTTGGGCCATAGCCCGTGACCCAAAGGAATGGACCGACCCATTGGACTTCAAGCCCGAAAGGTTCCTTCCGGGTGGTGAGAAGGCCGATGTTGATATTAGGGGCAATGACTTTGAGGTTATACCCTTCGGTGCTGGACGAAGGATTTGCGCTGGGCTTAGCCTTGGGCTTCGAATGGTCCAACTTCTAACTGCAACCTTGGCCCATTCGTTTGATTGGGGACTAGAAAGTGGGCTGAACCCAGAAAAGATGAACATGGATGAAGCTTATGGGCTAACCCTACAGCGGGCCGAGCCTCTTTCAGTGCACCCGAGGCCCAGGCTCGCGCCACATGTGTACTCAATGTCTCCATGAGTCTCACTTTCTTATAGTAGTTGTCGTCCCTTCCTTTTCTTAATGTGCATTTTAGTAACATAAAAACATAAATGGTCATAAATGGTGATGTTGTGTAATATTAGTATGTTAAGACGGAAAAGGGAGAAATATGTTTTCTTTTATTTAATAGCCTTTGTGAATTTTTTCTTGGATGTTTTTATGAATAATCAAATATATGCTATATTGGCGGGATTTAATAACTAGTTTATAGCACATATTTTCATTTTTGCTGATAATAAAACATTTTTTAGTATAGTATTTCTATCTTTTGTTAATTGAAATTCATTAGAAATTATAAAAATATGTAGGTTTTACTTCTTTTAGGACTCGTACTTGTTTCACATCATCTCAACCTAATCTTTTTTTATGTTATACTAAACATATAAATTTGAACGATTTTATATTTATAATAATATTTTATAACATAATATCGTATTTATAATAAATTTGTTTATTTTAAAATATATATTTACAAAATATAACTTAATTATATCTCATTTTATTCTTCATATTGTTTTTATTTATACATAATGATATAATTAATGTATTTTGTTACCGGGTTGAATTGAACTTGTTTTCCTCTTATTTATTTGATATTTTGATCAAGTCAGATTTTTAATTAAATTGAATGGTTTAGTCAAATTTATGAGTCTCTAATAAAATCAATAACCAATTTGGTTTTGTTCTATACTTAAAACTTATATTTTCAATATTTATAAATTTTAAAATTAACCATAAACTCCTATTTTAAATTATAAGCCTAAATTTAATAACTATGTGAATCCAAACATACTTTATATTTAATGAATTATTACAATTTGTAATACAAATATATATTAGTTGACCTTCGCATATATACATAAATATAACAATTCTAATTTCTAAAATTCATAGTTTTTCATACTTTACATTTTTTTTAAGCACACCTATAAATTTAACTATATTTATTATACCTCTAATTCTAATGTTTTTCAAATATCGAGTTTTTGTTGAGTTTGTAATCAATTATTTGAAATTTTGTTTATTAATTTTTTTAAAAATATTATAATTTATTAAATATTTTTTCTGTTTATTATCATAATTTGAATTCTTTGCAATTCAGTTCTTCATTATTCTAATCCAATGCAAATAGATAATGTTTACTCACAATTGGTTACATATTTTTATTTTCAATTTCAAAACAAAATGAGATGTTACCCTATTAACTATTTTTCCTTTTTATGTTATAAAAAGGATCCTTTAAATTATTCGTTCTTTAGTTTGATTGGCCAACAAAAATAATAGATACAATCGAATATAATATTTTTATATATAGCAACAAATAAATTAATGAATTTCCATTATATATATATATATATATATATATATATATATATATAATATGAACTCGTAATACTTTATTTATATTATTTATATCATTATTTTTTTTATTGTTTGTAATTATTTTTATAATATGTTATTATAATAAATAGATGAGAAATAATAAAGAAAAATAATTATTATAATATTATTTGAAGAAAGAGAAAACAAAAGAATTTAAAAATTGAAAAAAAGTGTGAAATATATAAAAACTGATAAAAAAAATAAAACTAAGAGAAAAATCCTTATTTTTAAAATAGACTATTTCCATTAGTTATAAAAATATAGACTATTTCCATTAGTTATAAAAAAATAGACTATTTCCATTAGTTATATACCTATATGTAAATATGTAATTCGTATTTTTATTATATTTTTATTTTAATTTATCAAAATTTAATGTATATATTAATAATTTTAAAATATAAATATTTATTTATAAAATTATAAATGACTGAAAATAAATAAAAATTAGAGTTTTAAGAAAAGAGAAATAGATAAATAATATTTTTTTATTATTTTAGATTCAAAAGTGAATTTTTTTGAATAAAATGTATGATTAAAACAAGTAAATAAAAGAATATATAAATTAAATATAAGTTATATTTTTTTCCATCTTTAATAATAAAAAAATTACAAAAAGAAATCCTTTTATATATTATTAGTAAAAACAAAAAGTATTTTTTTATTTTTTTAATTTGATTTAATTTTCTCTTTCTATTTTTAAATATATCTTTTTTTTTATATATTTTTACTATTTTTTAAATACATAATTCTAATAATAATTTTTTCTGTAAACGTATTTTCTATCAAAGGAAGTACTAAAAGAAAAAAATCTCATTATATATAAATAAAGAAAATACATTATTTTATATATTTTTTATTTATTTTATGAATTAAACTATTTTATTATTTATCAAATAATAATATAAATTAGTAACTGCACAATCTCTTTAAACATAACTATATAATCTTTCCATTAAGAAGAAACAACTGTATAAACAATGAAAGATTCAATGGTGGGTAGTATATATTATCAAGTTTTTTTTATCTTATTCCATACAAATTTTTAAAATAATATCACGAAATTATCCACTTTTAAAATTTTCAAAATAACTTATAATGTAATAGTAGTACACAAATATAGGGGTGGGATAGTATATAATTTAAATAATAATAATATTATTATTATTATATAGATAAATAAATAAAGTATATAAAGAAGATATACATTTTTTAATTTTTTATTCTAATAAAATATTGATGATGTTTTTTTTTAATGAAATTTGTTGTGTTAACTGTTATTTTTATTTTATAACTATACAAAATATGTCGACCTCTAAATAGAGTAGAATATGTGTTTTCACTTATGATAAATAAAGTATTATATATATATATATATATATATTAATTACAATTGTATTGTTCTAAAATGATCATAATACAAAAGAAAATAAATTTAAGGTTAATTCTAAAAAGTATTTATTTTAAAGATCCTAACGTAGTTTTGTGATCTGAACATGCCACTTTCTCTCTCTCTATATACCTTAAAAACTAAATATAATTAAAAAATAACCTATTCTGCCATTGTATGTTCTGGTATGGCATCATATTTTGAATTTGAGATAACTTGTTCAGCTTAGATTGCACTCAAATCAGTTGCAGTTACAGAGCACCGGCATGAGTGTCCTTGAACCCGAAGCAGTTGCCTTCCGCGGCTACGAACTTCGCCTCATTCGCTGCACCCTCACTCCTCACCAATCTCATCAGAGTTGTTCCTTACACGAAAGTCATTCTTTCGATGCTTCCATCAACCACCTCTTGAATTACATCGAGTGTGGCAACTACATCGAAGCACTCACCTCCCAACCCTCCTTCCACGCCTTCCGACTCGCCGCCCATGACTCACCGCAACTCAACGTTCCCGACCTCCTCTATCCTGAGTTGGTTGATCGCGCCGATTCCTTCATCAGAGGCGCCGCTGCCACCAACGACGTCGTTGAACAGCGTCGGAGGGGCATGCTCGTCACGTGCACAGCAGTCGCCGCGCTTCTAGGGTTTACTCAATCCAACTTCACCGGGTAATTTAAATGCATTCTCTATTTGTTTTGTTTTTGTGTTTTAATTTTAGAATAAAACTGAAGCTATTGCAGGCCCTTGAAAGGGGCAGAACTACCAAAGTGTCCTCTGCGTTTGGATGGTGATGATGAAGAACGCGACAATTGGGCGCGGAATCAGCTTATGTCTGCTGGTTCTGACTTGCTCGGAAAGTTCTCCAATCTTCAGGTACTTTTACGTCATGCATTCAGTTTGAATCAATTAGGTTTTCTTAGTACTAATCCTTACGTTCGTACGTGTCGTTGTTTTGTGTTTGTTGTAGTATATAGTTTTTGCAAAGATGTTGCTTATGAGGGTGAAGGATATAGGCGTTGAGATGGGAAGCCTTGCGTGGTGGCTTGCGAGGGTTTTGCTTACTCAACAGAGGGTTTTGGATGAGCGGTCTTCTTCCTTGTCTGATCTCTTGCATGTGTATATGGGCGAAGCTTTGCAGATGTTTGGCACCAGGGAACAAGTTCAGAGCTACTGGCAGGATGATTTACACAATGGAGAGAGCTCAGCCATTGTCTCTATGCTTCATTTAGAGGCTGGGATTATCGAATATTTATATGGACGGGTTGACTCTTGCAGGTAACTAGTTTAATTGCTATCAACATGCGAGAACCATGAATTGTGTGAGTGATAGTATAGATGCTTCTTACCATGCACGCATTCGCTTATTGTATCAGGATTTATTTTGAATCAGCTGAGATGGCAGCTGGGCTTCAGCTTTCACTTACTGGGGTACTTGGTTTCCGTACTGAGCACCAGGTAAACATAGTAAACGTATTCCATGACCAATAGTATATGTTTCATGAAACTTATTGTTCTTCAATATTTACTTCATTCTTGGATCTATGTAGGCAGAACCAAAGGCACAGATGGTACTTGTTACCAACACAGGTTCATCAAATAATGGGGATGATAATTGTCCCTTAATGGGTACCGGTATCCAAACTTGTGATTCCTATAATGGTGAAGATAATTGGAATTTGAATCACCATGAAACATTTGAAGCATCTGATATACTTAGAATACCGAAGTTGTTAGAAAACGATGATGACTCTAGAACTAGGTATCTATCTCAAGGCATAGATAATGGTGTCCATGTTGCTCCCAGTTTGACAGCAACACAGCAAGCTGTAATTCTGGCATATTGCCTTTTGATTGAAAAGAGCTCCCGACACGATGAGTTGCAACGTAAGTTACTTGAATTACTATTCGTGAATAATTAGAGATAAATCCCTTTTTGAAACTACCTCTGCTATGGGCTTACGTGGTCTTATAGCCCCATTTATATGTTCAGTGAAAAAGTATGTATACTTGATAAATCTAATAGAGATTTTGGTTTACCTTGATGTTAATAGTTTACTCAGTTGCTGTCTTGTGGCCTGGTTTCAGGATGGGAAATGGCACCTTATATTGAAGCAATTGATTCCCAGAAAATGTTTTACTTTACTGTAAGTACAAAGTTCTATACTGTACAACACAGTAAACTTTGTTAATGCTCAATTTGTATAATTTGTAAACCATTTTATGCATTTGATATTTTTCTCTTTGCTGCTTTAGATCAGGTGTTTATCCGATATTTTACGTGTTCGATGGGAGACATCTCGTAGCCGGACTCTGCAGCGTGCCTTACTGATGATGGGCAACTTGGTATGTGTTTTACTTTGTTAGCACGTTTATTAGGGAATTACAAAGATATAAATATTTCTTTTAGTTAAACTAAAAACTTAGGAGTATGTAAACTTAGTTTTTTTTTTTTTTAATAAAACCCTTTGTTTTAAAAATAATTAGTAAAATTTAATTATATGAGAATTAATATGAGAAATAATTATTTTATATTGATATTGTAATTTATGTAAGAGATAAAATTAACCTTGTGATATGGAAATACCCCAAGTTCTTATATATTTAACATTAGGGATTTATTTATCTCCTTAAATGTCCATAACTACATCATCAAACCATTATGGCCTTTCGTTAATAAATACAATATTTTAGATTAAAAAAATGTTTTTTTTTTCATAATTTTATAGATCACAAAACGTTTCCGCGCTATCGCGTCATGATCATCTGTTACAGCGCCATGATCATCTGTCAGTTGCGTTCGTGTTATTGCGTTTCAGATCACAATTAAATCGTGCTTGTTAAAAAACTAAAATAAAGAACAAACAAATAAATATAATAGTGAGTCAATCTAACCTACCAACTCGTAGTGACTTGAGTTGGGTTATGAAAATTCTAACTCAAGATAAAGTGAATCAGATTAGGTTCGTCTATTTTCTGCAGACCCTGAATTAATATGTGAGTTAAGTTGATTCACTTTGGGACTAGTCTGCTGGACGAACTATAAACTCTAATACTTCCTCTAAAATATTAATAGCTCAACTTATCAATAACTTTTTTTATATAATTATTTTATATGTATTTTTGTAAGTATATCTTTAATTATATTAATAATTTTTAATTTAATAAATTAAAAATTTATTATATTTATACGTTAAAATAACTAATTATAATTAATAATTTAAATTTAATTGATTAATTGTTATAATTTAAATTATAATATTATAATATGTTATATATTTCAAAAATATAATAAAAAAATTAATATTTTTAATTATAATTTTTTTTACTTTAATATTAATATATAAATATTTTTTTTAAGATGGACTAGTTTATTTCGTCCTAACGGAATGGTAGGTCGAACCAAAACAATCATCCTCCCGCTGTTTTTTGGCCGGTCAGCATTATTATATGAAATTTATTTAGTTTTTTTTGTAAGTTTTTATTAGAACATATTTTCATGAAATTTATTTAGTTTTTTTGTAAGTTTTTATTAGAACAAATTTTCGAACTTTGAACATTATATTCTAAAAGTTTTTTTTGCTAGATTTACGTTTGGTTGATTTAAAATGATTTTTCTAATGTTATATAATTACGACTTATATTTAGAGATTTCAGTTCATATTTAAATGATTTAAGGTTATGTTTGAATTTAAGATTAAGAAAATAATAAAAACTACAACGTGATTTTAAACTCCTTTGAACTTTGTAAATAAAAATATTTTATGGTCCTCTTCAAAAGAAAAAAAAAACATGTTGGCCCCTTCATTACAAAAGTCTACTCCGCCGATCTTATGTGTTAGGACAAGTAGATGGAAGAATCACGCGGGAAAGGCATCATCATGAAAGTATTAGAAATGGGGACAATGGCATGTTCTGCACCATTAGTGCATAAAAATACAATTATTATTCTTAAATGGAGTATGAAATTTGGTACAACAGTTTTGAGCAACACGTAACAGTTCAGAGTGATCTTTAATAATAACCTTGTGTAGGGTGAGCATAAATGAGAGTTTCAATTTAGATATGTATAACCCAAGAATTTACATGACTGAGACCCGGAATTTGAATTAAAATTTTCTAAAAAGAGTTCTAATAGATGAATTCTAATGATGCTTGATGTTTGAAACAAAGGCTGAGATTAAATATAATACATTTGTGTTTTCTATGTCTTTCTAGATGTAAACATTTAATTTGGCTATAATGAGTGAATTGTATGATTTGTATATTATACCTGATAAACTTTTACTACATTATTTGCAGGTTAAAAATATATATGATCCTTCTCCAGCAATAGCAGAAAGAATTGCTTTGAGCTATGCTGTTTGTATTCCCAGTATTCCAGCATTAAGGAAGTAAAAACTTTTGTTTTGTAAGCCTTTTATGTATTCTAACTTCAGAAATGAGACCACTCTTAAATTTTGTATTACTTTTTCCCGTCCAATTTCAGGGAACATGGGTTACTTATGGTGCGATGCGGTTTGATAGGGGAGGCAGTGAAGGTGTTTGAAGAATTAGAATTATGGTATTATCTTATATGCTGCTACAGGTATTATAATAAAACTTGAAATGAATAAACCAAATGATTTTTCCCCTCTCATCACATTCACCTTCCGTTGTCAATGATGTTCATTTGATATTTGATTTGGAAATCAGGTTGTTGGGTAAGAAAGCAACCGCTGTTGAACTCATCAGGAAACGTCTTTCTGAAACACCAAATGACCCCAGATTATGGTATGTTACTTGGATTGCTTAGTTTTCGATTCTTATTATTGGGTTGCGATTGCTTTTATCAACAGCTACTCGAGTATTTCTCCTTCAAGTGCCGTTGCATCTTCACAATACATTCTTCAATTGATCTGCCTCTCAAGACAATTATCCTAATATTGTAATAAGAACACCAAAGAGAAGCTATAAATGTAATCCTATCATATACTAAGTTTACAGGCGAAGAAACAAACTTAGAAAAACTAGCATTCTGATCCAGCCAAATATGCTTCCGGCGGGTTGAAATTACTGCCATTGCAATAACTGACAGGATATAAGCATTGATTTTATTTATTTATTTATTTGTGTATTTTTTTTTATGAAACTTCTCATGTAGCATCAATATGTTTTTAAAATATGGTTCACACTAAATCTGAATTTTTCACATCAATCATCAATCATTTAAAAAACATTAACCTTGTGAATGATTTGGGAATAAAATTAGGGGTCCATCGAGAGCATATAAAATGTTGAGTGCGTATTCCAAGAGAAATCGCAACTTAATGACCTACCGTTTTCTGCTTTGTGTCTTCTCCCATAAAATTTTGATACTGATTGGTTTAAGAATGCGTTGGAGATAAGAAAATAGGATTTATATTCCAGTTTTTGTGTTCTATATAAATTGCTGCTGGGCTGCTCATACCATTGATTTTGAATAGCATTGAAAGAGTGGCTTATAATTTGGATTATACACTACAATTTTTTACCCATTTATTTGTGAAAGAATCTTAAGTATTCTAGTTGAAGATGACCACCTATGATTTTTATGACAGGCTATATGTTTTGTTAAATAAGAAGTTTTTCACCGTGGACAAATATAGTTATATTGTTCTTTTATTTTTGCTATCTGCTTAGTCACTAACAAAGAGCGAGCCATGATGGATGACATGCTAACCTACAGTATATCCGCTAAAAGATGAAAGAAAATGATTATAGAAAATTATTTTGTATCTTCTCTTTCACTGGAGCTAAAAATTTTCAGGTGTTACCTGGGTGACATTACATCTAATGATGCATGCTATGAAAAAGCTCTGGAAGTTTCAAACAATAGGTCTTCTAGAGCAAAGGTGTGTCTGTGTGTACATTTGTTTGTTTGTCTTCCACATACCTGCTTCTATCATATTACGAAAATTCTAAATTTACATTCTTCTCAATTAATTTTGTTTTCCTCTTGTTGACAGCGTTCGCTGGCTCAAAGTGCATACAAAAGAGGAGACTATAAGACATCTAAAATTTTGTGGTGTGTGACGTGTCCCGACACCTGATGCATTTAACTTTAATCATCATTGCCTTTGTCGTTATATATAATATTTGTTGTTTTGATTGTAATGTTATTATAGGGAGTCAGCAATGGCAATGAACTCTATGTACCCAGATGGTTGGTATGAACTTGGGCTTGCTGCATGGAAGGTAATTGTTTGATGTCTACTATGGTTATTATTTATTTACTTTTGCAGCGTTTTAGATTTGCATTATATATTATCCATAAAAAAGTTACAAATTGTCCATGTAGGTGGATGTCTGAACATCCATAATGAACGTGACTATGGCTATTGTTGATTGGCAACAATATATTAATATTAGGCCAATTTTGGTGAAATTGAATAAGGTAGATGCATGCGTGTTTAATAGGAGAAGGTTTAAAGTTTCAGATAGCTTACTTTCGGAAGCTACCACTTGTGCATTTGTGTATAATTTGATATGCAACTATATATGATATCCCCTGATTGTTTTGTCTGGATGAGCACCACTGAACTACCAACAATCCCGGATTTTATAATAGCCCATCTCAGTTTTTACCATAGCTAATGTAGACTCGTCCCTCTTTGTTTTTCCTTTCACTTTTGCATCCTTTAGTGTGTCAAGCTAACCGGGAAAATTTTACAGGCTCAAGATGCAGAAAAGGCTCTGGATGCGTTTACTCGCGCAATTCAACTTGATCCTAAAAATGGGGATGCTTGGTATTTCATTGGAAGCTTGTAAGAAGTTCTTTCTTTCTTCTAGTATTCAAAAATAGGGAAGCTCTTAGTTTGTTTCAGTGTATAAACTCCGTTTCTTTCGAAACCTCACGCTTAATTATTTAAAAGAATATTTTCTGTTTTGGTTCCATCTGTATTCAGGATACGAAATAAGGACATAGTCGTCTTCTTTCCTTAAATTTCACATAGTCCATTCCTTGTTAGGTTCAAATTTAAGAACTTCAGCTAGAATTATTTGCTGCTTAACCCTTGAGGTGTCTCCTTAGGGCCACGAAAAGTATCTTCATACCTCTATATAAACTAGATCAAAATTGCCTTCATTCTGTTTAACTTCAATCATTCATTTTGGATCTCTCCCCCTTGATAACACTGTTGTGAGAACAATTGATAAAGATGTTCCAGATTATTAATCAATAACAAAAATAAAAATCACTCATGAATAATTAAATTTTGGTTCTATCTTTTACTTATTGTATTTTATCTGAAATGCAGGCATTTGGTGAAAAAGAAGGGCAAGGAGGCCTTCATCGCATTTAAAGAAGCCTTGAAATTCAAGTTCCGTATATGTCCCTTTCATTAAACTTCCTTCTTTTCATATGCTTGCTTACATGCGTAAATGCTCAAAGCCTCAAATATATACAACAATGTATTTGTTCATAATAATTTCAAGAAGCCTCGACCTTTTATTAAACTTCCTTTGCGTCATAAATATGGGCATATGCTTGCATGCATACATACATAAAACATTTGTATTGGTTCATAATCATTCCATAGTTAACAGTCTTTAAATAACACTAACATAATGATATTTGGTAACAGACGAAACTGCTGGGAATTATGGGAGAAATATAGCTATGTTGCTGTTGAAATTGGCAATATCATTCAGGTATCTGCTGTTTTTTATAGTTTCTCTTCATTTGATGGTCTAAGCAAGTCTATGATACATAAGGGTGTTCTATATGACTTGAAGTAATAGAATGAACGACCAAATATGTTTTTTATGCAGTTTAAATCTCTTATATTTAATGAACTTCTTTTGATAGGTTGAGATTTTGAAAATGGCATATTATCCTTCTACAAGTTTCTTTAGCGTATTAAAGATGTTTTTCTTTCATAAGCCACTTTCACAAAGCTTAGCTGCACACCTTAATTTTCAAAGTGCATAATCAACAAAGCCCATAATGTTGAAAGTTAAAGCTGATATATAATGGAAAATAAATAAATTTAAAGGCCTTTATAATTTAGCAATTAATTTGAAATTTTAACATGACATAAATTCAAGTGTAGTGTACTAAGAAATAACTCCAGTAAAGGCATTATTATTTCTTTTGGTTCTTCCTTGATCATCCATTCAGTTTGATAAATTCTTTTAGGCCCTGGAAGGTGTACAGATGATTTTGGACATCACGAATAATAAGAGAGTTGATAGTGAATTATTGGAAAGAATCACAGGGGAGGTGGAAAAGCGGCTTTTAGCATGTAATATGCTTCCTTTGGTAACTGGTAATAAGCCTAAAACAGATCAGTTATGCATTGTTGATTCTGGATCAGAATATGAAAAGGAAATATGTGGAGCATCTGTTGCAGGAAGATCACGTGAAACTGAACAATTATTATTTTTACTTGGAAAAGTTTTACAACAGGTACTTGTCAATTCTATCAAGATTCTACTTTTTTAGATCCCTTCTTGCTTTACTATTCCATAATAAAGTGGTTAATGAACAAACACTCCCCATTCCACACCTTCATTCAATAGTAAACTGCAAGCAATGTTGTTTGCCCTGCAAGTTAAATAACGGCCAATATTTTATCCTCTGCTACAGATAGTTAAAAATGGGAGTGGATTTGAACCTGATATCTGGGGCTTATATGCCAAATGGCACAAAATTAATGGAGATCTCATGATGTGTTCTGAAGCCCTCTTAAAGCAAGTTAGGTCACTCCAGGTACGTTCCATGAAAGGTCCATGAAATCTTGGACATTTGTTGTTTGTCTTAATGACAGTTTTCATAATTAACCAATTGATACGATTTTTAATTTATTAACGTGTGATTGTATTGTTTCAGGGATGTGATACATGGAAGGATCAAGATCGGTTCAAAAAGTTTGCAAAAGCGTCTTTGGATCTTTGCCAGGTATACATGGACATGTTTTCATCTGCTCCTGGTAGTACTAAACAATTGTCTACAGCTGAGATGCACTTGAAGAATGTCATCAGACAGGCAAGATAATTTTAGTACCATTTTTAATGTTGGAGCATTGAAAAAGTCAAGAAATTAACATAATCTAGCAAACTTTGCTCTTGTTTAAAATTTATATTTTTCGTTGCTTGAATCGTTCATCCTATAAAAGCTTTTTTATTTATTTATTTATTACTTGTATATATGTTCAGGCTCAAAGCTGCTTCTCCGGTACACAAGAGTTCAGGGATCTTCAAGCTTGCTATGATGAAGTTAAAATTAAACTCCAATCCAACTCCATCAATGCTCAGCTAAAATCTGGTTGAGATGGCGTTTTCAGAATCCTAATGTGCCAAATCTGGACTACGGTTGTAGTTTACTATATTTATCTGATTTTGTTTGAAGTTTACTGAACTTAATTAAAATTATAATAAATTTAATTTTTATTTATGACACCCAGTAAATGATTTTTTTTTGTTTGTTCATAGAAAATACTAGGTAGTCATTGAAACAAGTTAATTTTATAACAAAATCATAATTATAATTCAACGAAGTCAAATATAACATTTTACTTTGGGTCTTAATTCTTGAATGCAAGTCTTTTAGAGGATTATGTTTCGATCCTGACAGTGCCCACCATTTGGAAATGATAAATAAAAAAAAAGATTTGAAAAAGTAAAGTAATTTTTATTTTTCTATATCCGTAAGACTTAATCAACCCATTGTTGACTGATTATTCCGTTTGAATTTGATACAAAATTAAATCTCATTAAATACAAACCTAGTTTGATTTTTGTTTGGATAAGGACACGAAATATAACCAAATAAATAGACTCCTTTAAGGTTTATTAACACTAATAAATAAACTCAATTAATTTTTATTTTATTTTTAATGAAATTGTAAGATTTTTTTTCTGCAATGCTTTGTCACTTCACTTGCCCCATTAGGAGATTTGAATTAGGATTAGTTAGATGAGGAAGTTGAATAATTGAATTATTAAAAGAGGAGAGATATAATTAATTATAATTAACATTTACAAAGAATATAAGTAGGAAACTGAGAAACTTATGCACGTAAGGGCCCATATGTTCAGAAATAGGGAATGGCCATGAGAGTGAGTTAGTTAGTTAGTTTTGCCTTGGAGCTGCATTAGTAATGGCTATATAAGTTAGAGTTAGTTAAACATAATGGCGAGTGAAAGGAAGAAGAATGGATGCATCTAGGTCAGGATCAGGAGGTGAGAAAGAGAAAGAGAAAGAGAAAGAGAAAGAGAAAGAGAGTGATTTTTGGAGTAGAAAGGTTTTCGAGTTATTGGAGATTGCTGACGAGAGCGATGAGGAGATAGAGTCGGATTTCTTGGGGATTCAGTGTTCGTTTCTTCCGATGAAAAAGAAGCAATTAAAGATAGTGAGTAGTGCTTTTCTTACGAGATTGGAAGCCGATCAACAGTTACTCCAGATCAGGTGCTACTTTTCGTCTATTGCTTTCATTCAACTCCAAAAACAAAACTGCAAAATTGTTTTTCCTAATTTGTTTTTAATTATACGATTGATAGGGAACAAGTCCAGGACCAACAGAATACCTCTGATCTTGAACAGCTGCAGTTGCGAGAAATGCCGCAGCAAGATGACACCAGAAATATTGCAGAAGAACCAAATGACACCAGAAATATTGCTGAAGAATCAGATGACACCGGAAATAATTCACAAGAACCAGATGCAAACAGACCCACCAAGTAATGATGATTTTTAAGTGAAAACTAATACAAAACTGTAAATTTGTACGCTAGTTGGTTTTTGGTGTATATGCGAACTTAGGAATGTAGATAATATTTTGTGAATCTTTATGAAGAAAATGAAAACTCCATATAAAGAAATTACATTTTTCACTCGAGTCAATAAATAATAATAATTTTTGCACTTAAGGAGTGTTCAAGCTCATGCTTATTTTGTAGGTTTTATTTGTTTTTAATTACAATTTACCTAAATACTTATAATTTATCTTCTACATATTACTTTTGATATTATAATTTTGAGTGATTGTAATTTGTAATTACTATTATGAATGCTAATACAGAAATAATAATTAAGAATTGGTGTAATTGCTAGAAATATATAAAGTAATTACTAGTTCTTTGACATAATACACGAATAATATTTAGTTAGGCATTGCCAAAGATCATATTTCGTTTTGGTAACTCAAAAACATTATTTCATTTGACTTTTTATTTATTTGTTGTATCCCTCAAAACAAGATTAAAACCTATTGATATAATAATATTCAAACTCAAAATAAGCATGTCTTTTGTTTTCGCGTCTCTCACTCTTGCCTTCTCTCTCTCAGTCACGTCCTTCCCTCTTTCTCTTCCATTTTGCTTCTTTTTTAATTCACATTTCTCACCCATTAAAGTCTAACTCATGAAGAAAATTTTACACTTTCAAGCAAAATTGCCACGTTTCTTTTCTCAATTGCTTTGGGTGAAATTTTTGGTTAGAATTGGTGCTCTAAACAAGGACCCTTGAAGGTGCTTGCTTGATATTTCTTAAAATTTGTTGGTTTCTACCTTAGTTGTTCTATAAGAATTAAGGAACAGGAGTTTTAGATAGGCCTACAAAGATGAATGTTATTAATTATGATTTTAGTAACTTTTATTTGTAATGATCATTTCTCGTTTTATATGTTATTTTGGAAAAATACATTTTTTTAATTTATTTTTACTATTTTTAAATAATTGCTAATTTAGAAATTTATTTAATTAAATTTGAGTATATCGGTTTACTTTTTTTTATAACATCATATTTAATGGTATTAAGTTTGACAATAAGGAATACTGGTGTGGAAACAAAATATTTATACTTGGAACTGACATTTCACATACTATTTTCACGTACTATTTGAAGTAGTAGAAGAGAGTCATAGGTCCAAAACTATCAAGGGGATTGAGATTTGCGACCAAATTTTGGGGGCATAGCATAGGGGACAATAGCAGTTCCAAAAGGACAATCATGCTATAAATAACATTAATGAATTATGCGATTGAGTTTGTGACAGTGATCACACGTGGGACAACCTTTGTCCCATTTGTGAGTGTGGTTACTATCATCATCATGAGATACCAAGGTTCAAGAGTTACACGATAGAAGAAGGTATGCAACATCGAAAGGAGGACATAATTAGTAAAGATAGACAAGTTAGACCTAATAATGATGTAAAACTTAAATTAGTTCACTACTAAGGCTTTCCACGTCGGTTCTGGAAGGCCTTCAACGGCGGTTCCAGAACCGACGTTGTATCAGAGTCCTGACTTTCAAATCGAAAATATTTATTTATTTCCAAATTAAAGTTTAGAGCATTACCAAATTAATTTTTTGTCACTGACAAGATTCGAACCCAGTACCTTAGTGTTGGAGGCTGATACTCCAACCACTAAACTACTCGAATTTTTTGATAATAACTTACAAATAAATTATATTTATATACAAATAAATATATATCATTGTAAATATATAAATATATAAATACAAATATATTTATATATTTTGATATATTTATATAATTATATATTTATATGTTGGATGTGAGGGCACGCTCGAAGGTGAAAGTGTGTCGAGTGAGTTTTCAAAATTTGATGTCAAATTTGTGAAGCGAGTCTCTTTATATGAGTTTGTAATTTAATGACAGAATATAATATTTATAATTTATTAATGATATAAAATAAATATGAGAAACGCATCATTCGCTCAAGTGAAAAATACCAATTTTCGCTCAAGCGAGGCTTGAACGAGTGAATTTCCGTGAGTTTTAACGTATTTTCACTCAAGCGAGAGTCAATCTCACTTTCACCCTCGAACGCGCCTTCACATCCAACATATAAATATATAATATATAACTATATAAATATATATAAATATATCAAAATATATATAAATATATCAAAATATATATAAATATATCAAAATATATATAAATATATCAAAATATATAAATATATTTGTATTTATATATTCTATATTTATATATTTGCATGAATATATATTTATATGTATATAAATATAATTTATTTGTAAATTATTATAAAAAAATTATAGTAGTTTAGTGGTTGAAGTATCAATTTTCAACTCTAAAATACTGGGTTCAAAAAATCTCGTTAGTGACAATTTTCTAACTTAAGTAAATTTTTGGTTGAAAAAAATAAAAACACTTTCCAGTAAAATATATATATTTACACTGATATATATTTATTTATATATAAATATAATTAATTTGTAAGTTATTATCAGAAAATTACAAGTAGTTTAGTGGTTGAAGTATCAACTTTTAACTCCAAAATATTGGGTTCAAATCCCGTCGCTGACAATTCTCGAACTTAAGTAAATTTTTGGCTGAAAAAAATAAAAACACTTTCCAGAAAATATATATAAATAAATATATATTTACACTGATATATATTTATTTGTATATAAATATAATTAATTTGTAAGTTATTATCGTAAAATTACAAGTAGTTTAGTGGTTGGAGTATCAACTTTCAACTCTAAAATACTGGTTCGAATCCTGTCAGCTGACAATTCTTTAAATTAAGAGTATTTTTGGTAACATTCAACGCTCGGCTCATCCTGAAACCGACGTTGAATGTCTAAATTAAAAGACTTTCAATGTCGGTTCATCTAGAACCGACGTGGAAAGTGCTTTCTACGTCGGTTGATTAAGAACCGACGTAGAATGTGTCCAACATTCCACTTTCAACGTCGTTTTTTAACCAACCGACGTTGAAAGTGTATTTAACGTCGGCTCGGCTTTAATCAACGTTAAATGACGACGTTGAAAGTATATTTTGTAGTAGTGGTTGTTTGGTTGTTTTAAAAAAATATTAATGGTTTTAGGCACGGATTTCATAACTAAGAAATATGGGGAAACAAACCTATTTAATAGGTATCATAATTTATTTTTTGGTATCTGAAGAGACAAATATTTTGCTCATAAATACTTGTAACAACTTATTTGAAATTGCAGCAATAGAAACATTGAGAGATTAAAAGAAAACAGAGTGTTGTCAACTTTTACTTTTTGCCTACTTGTTGCCAACAAATTGACATCAGAGCTTGTGTGTGTGAGGTGAGCGTGAGAGAACCTATCAAGCCTCAAGAGAGAATGTCGCGCTGTGTGCTGACTGAGAAAGAGAGAGGAACAACTCAGAGCTTTGTGAGGTGTGTAAGTTGAGTGCAAACAATTGAGAGAAAATGACAGGTCTAACCAATGACATCCCACTACCTAAGTTGACGAAATGCGCTAACTATGACAACTGGAAGGTACAAATGAAGGTCCTTCTCGGCTCCCAAGATAACTGGGATATGGTCAAGACTAGGTATGAGGAACTAGCAAACACAAATGAGTATTCAAATGCCTAGCTGAACGTGTTGAAGGCCGTTCGAGCTAAAGACAAGACGACTTTGTATCTGTTATACTGAGCCGTCGACGAATCCGGACTTGAGAAGATAACCAATCCAAAATCTTCCAAAGTAGCATGAGATACACTTGAAAAAGCAAACAAAGGAGATGAACGGGTGAAACAAGTTCGACTTCAAACCCTTAGAGGTGAGCTGAAAAACATGAGAATGAAAGAGTCTGAAAACGTATCAGAGTGCATTACTCGGGTGGAGACCGTGGTGAACAAGCTGAATCGAAATGGTGAGAGTCTTTCATCAAACAGAATTGTTGAAAAGATTTTGAGGTCATTGACGAATGATTTCAAGAACATCGTGTGCACAATGGAGGAGTCTAATGATCTATCAACGCTCACCCTTGAAGAGCTTGTTGGGTCCCTGGAAGCACATGAGTAGAAAAGGAAAAATAAGAAGGGGAGTACCTTGAATAGACCCTCTAGGCGAAGACGACAATAAAAGAAGAGAAGGTGCTCTATGCTCAGAGTAACAGAGGCCGAGGAAAAGGCAGAGACCAAGGTGTTAGAAGAAAAGGAGGACGAGGAAATGAGCAAGACGGTCAATAGAATTGGCGTGACCAAGGTTGTTGAACATACAAGGACTTGATGTTGAACTTACATGAACATGAAGCTTGATGATTTTGATGATGATTCAAGAACAAAAAACTTAGAGAGTTGAAGACTTGTATTATTGTGTAATAACTCTGTTTTGATGAATTTGAGTCTGTAATATTAGAGTCTAAGATAGCCGGTACATAGTCTACTCTTTAGAAGCTTCAAAAACTCATACTTATCAAAAAGTCTCGGGTTTAATCGATTAAAAGACCAAATAATCGATTATTACAGTGAGAAAAACCATTTTCTGTATCAGCTCACTGTGATAATCGATTAACACACTTGTTAATTGATTAACAGACTTGTTAATCGATTAATAGGGCAGATAATCGATTAAACTAGTGCGTTTTGGGTCTCTGTTGATTTTGGCTCTGTAATAATCGATTAACACTTGATATAATCGATTATTTCAGTCAGATTTGCATTTTGAACTTCAAATTAAACCTATTTTCAAAAAACCCTAGTCCCAATACACCAAGTTTCGAAAATCCCCAATTCCCAAACTCTAATTTATCTACTTAAGGTTCTCTAAGACTCTCAGAAAATTGAACAACATTTTTCAAACAAAAGTTAAGAGCTGTGATTGCCAGAGAACGGTTTGTTGGAGGAAAAAGGGACTTTTGGAACCTGTGTGGGCTAGAAGCGATAAGAATCACTAAGTAGAGTTCTTAGTGGATTGTGTGT